TGTATGGTACTTTGAATTACTATTTCTATGTTCCTTCCATCAATATATCTGTGGGTGATAGAACATCCCCTAGCTGCCACTCCAAGAATGTATTTTTCTTTTGGAACCATGAATCCTCTTTATTTCTATTTTCATCTGCACTTTGTCACAGTTCACACTATCTATCTGCAAAGCTTCGTAGAGATTACAACAACAACAACAACATAGCCTTTTAGTCCCAAGCAAGTTGGGGTGCTTCGTAGAGATTGCATTGCATAAATATTTTTTCCCCATCTTCAAGCCTGGTTTTTTAGATTTTTATTCCATGTCATTCCCTCAAAGATCTCCAAGAGCTTGATCTATTTATCATTACTACGTTTGCTTGGCATGATCTATTTTCAATATACCTTGTGTGGTTGCAATTCTACTATATTAAGTGAATATCTGGCAAGTCAGCTCCCTTTTGCGGGGGAGGGGAACCTCTGCACCTTGAAGTATTTTGAAGGAAATTGATAGCCATCATTGACCTCTTTCAGTCCATTCTCTTTTCTTATTTAAGTTTCATGGAGAAAATCTGAAATGTAAATCAAGAAAATGGATTTTTTATTTTTATTTTCATGCTAGTGTCTTTATGCATTGCAGCTCGTCAATAGAACATCCGACTCAATCAACAATATCTGGTCGACAGGAAATCTCTTCAGGTAATGCAGCTCTCTTGTTGCTGATCTTTCAATTGTTTTTACTTCGTTCCAAGGATGTATTTATATGTGTACTTTTCATACAGTTTTTAATTCTAATGCCCAATCGAATGCATCTACATTTGACTTACATCACAGTTTTGAATTTTAATTGCACTTTACCTAATATTTAGAAATTATAATTATGTAATACATCTAATTGTTGTGTTTGATTGGGAGGAGGGAGGGGTTGTACAGGAGAGTATTTTGGAGAGAGATTTTGTGCAATTTGGAAAGGGTTATGGGCAATGTCTAAATCCACCTGCATATGCGGGCCATTGGAATGAACATCCGATGGGTGAAATTGCGAGTAGCGGACGATGAATATGCTAGTAACAAGTGATGTATACATAAGAGAGGAGTGATGAATATACATGTAACATATGATGAATATGCTTGGGAAGTGATGAATATGGAGATATTATCCCTCATCAATTTCATATTCATCTCAGCATGTGATTGTGCATGCTTTTTGTCCATTCGGTTGGATAAAAATGGCTGAATCTTTGATGATAGGGAGGAATTTTTAGAGAAGGTATCAGATAGATTTGTAAGGCTGCATGTTTAGGCTTGAACTGAAGTTTAGGGCTATTTGTTTTATCTTGTTTGCTGAGGATCCCCTGTACTGAAACATTTTTTTTTTCTTTTCTCAATATTTTTATTTTCATCCAAAAGATGAAGTTCTAAACCTGAGATTCATTTTTGTTACTTTCCATATTTTTATTGACTGGTTAATTTTGACTTCTATTTGGTCTGGTTGACAGCTTAATGTTGACAAAGCAGAATTGAAATTAGAAAAGGAAAGCATAGTGATATTGTTGGTTACGAGTTTCTATGATGTTACTTTGATATAGCATTTGTGTAAATAACGTTCCTGATGATCGTATTGATTATAGTAATCAGGTTTTGTTAAAGTTTAGAAATCTTAGCATGGAATTGACCTTGAATTCTGTTTAAATTACTTCTCTTCAAGGAGTTCTCTTTTGTTTTACTATTTATTTATTTAATTTTTTTTTGGGTTCATATACGGGTTCCGAATTGCAGAAATAAGATTGTAATGTATCTATTTGACTGTTCATTTGAATGTATATTTATTATTTCAAATTTATCTTCTTCCTGGGTTGTTTTAGTGAAACTTTATGACCAATAGGCCAATGCATCAGAAGCAAAGAGCTGCTCTGATTACAATATTCTCCATACTTCCCTTTACTAGGCTTAGTTCCTTTTGTTAGAATTAGAAATGCTAATATATATGTTTACTATAACCTTAAAAAAGAATCTAAGCTTCAAGTGTAATTGATCTTGAGTGATCCGAAAGTTGTTTAACTATGAAGAAAGTGATATTTACAAGCCGTAAAAGTTAGGACTAGTTGGTTCTGTAGCATCCAAGTACGACTTGGAGTTTAAATAAGTAAATCATTTTCATTGCTTCAGGAATCTTTCAAATATTTCTGAATCCCATGAAAACCACAATTCAACTGAGAAAGGAAGCATGGTTTCAGAACTTCCTCAGAAAGTGTTGGAATCTTTGTTTAATATGCCCACTCCAAAAACTGCCGAACATGAACCTACTGCAATGAACTGGAGAAATGTTGTTAAGAAAATGACATCCCTTGGTCAAAGAATTCCGCCTGGAGACAGCGAACCACAACAGCATCTTAGCAATGGTACTGAAAAAAACGTCTGATCTTTGTTTTCTGGGCTGATTTTCCTTTGAGAAAACTTTGGTTGTGCTGATTTCTGTCTTGATGCATTGTAATTATGTGTCAGTTTGATTCGGAACTTAAATTTCATTCGGCAATTTATGCAGGAATAAGATTTTATTATGCTGTGCATTGTAATTAAAAGAGCATTTCTTTTTAAAAATATAAACTAAAAAATAATAGTTGAGAGAAAATGATCGAGAACCAGTGATACAACTCCATTATTGTAAAGCTGTTGCTAACGTCTCTCTTTCTACTCATCCCGATTTTATGCATTGCAATGATGTGTCATATTTACCTCAATATTCAGTTAGCTTTTGTTTAACCTGTAGCTAAAGGAGATGAGTATCGTGTACTCAGAGAATCTGCCCAGCAGCACTGGAATTCAATGAAATCATACTATCAGAAGGTTTACTTTCTGCAGTTCTCACTCAGGATCTCACTTAGGATCTTATATATTTAAGAAGGTTGACTTTTCTGCAGGCTGTGACAGCATTTACAAGTGGGGAAAAGGAATATGCATCATATCTTTCTGATCAGGTATTTATTAGAAAAATTTGAACTTTTTTTTTTTGGTCAGAAGATCGATTAAGAAAATGCCGTTCTTTATGCTTTGTTAATTTATCTTATTCTATAAAAAATTTCTTTATATAAATCTTATCCTCTATTGTTATGTATTTACGCGTTACCTGGCCTAATTTTGTTTACCATCTATAAGTTTGAAATTGGAAACTCTTTACCTTTTATGATCACATTATTATTTGGGGTGCAACATTGGATAAGATGTTTGATGGAAGTGAAGGATATGGAGAAATATGTCACTCGACAATAAGAGTCCAAAAATAAAATATCACTCGATAATAAGAGTCCAAAAACAAAATCAAGTTCAGTCTACAACAACAACAACAACATACCCAGTATATTCCCAATTGGTTGGGGTCTGGGGGGTCATGGGGGGTCAGTTGCACGCAGACCTTATCCTTGTAATTATACAAGGAGGCTGTTTTCGTAGCGACCCGAGGTGCATTGCGTCGTTTGATATATTTTTTTCTAGAAACCTCACTAATAGAAGAAGCACTAGAATTTAATTGAGCCATTTTGATCTAGTCCATTATTAGCACTATGCTAGGAGAATTGTCAACAATGACTCTTCCAGCTCCATTGCCCATTTGCAATGGACAAAAAATCAAGTTCAGTCTATGGACAACAAAAAGATACTGAAAAGCAATTAAGATATAAAGTTCGGTTTAAGCATCTTCTTTCAGCTTACTCACTTATCGATGTTCTTAATCTCAAAAGTTCCAATGCGGAAAATTGAATTATTTTATCGTGAAGTTCTGATACTGGCCTTTCCCGTTATTGCCGAACATAAGACATTGGTTAAATATTAATCTCTGTTGTTGCTGCAGGGAAGATTACAAAACAAAATGGCTCTAGAGGCTGATGAAAAGGCTAGTCAGGATATATTTACTGCTAGGTGGGGCTGGGCTACGTATTGAAAATCAATCAAAGACCAAATCTGGTCACCATGTTATTTTATCCCTCACCTATCTCTTGATATGCAGAAACAAGAGTATCGAAAACATGATAACTATCGATCTGCATGGGCAACATATTAAACCGGGAATGAAACTTTTGAAACTCCATCTTCTCTTTGGAGCATGTGTGAGATGTAAGGATCTAATCCGTGTTTAAACTTTAAACCACTAATCTCCATTTCAATGTTTTGAAGAATTTAAATGTGTTTTTCCTATTTCCTTTTGCCCTGCTACTCTAGCTGTGAGGTCATTCAGGGTTATAACTGGATGTGGGAGCCATGGTGTTGGCAAGTCGAAGCTGAAAAACTCGGTAAGACTGAAAAGCTTTCTCCATTATTGATCACAACTCCTCTATCTCTAGTTTTTCCTTTGTAATGAAACTAATAAAAGATTTTCACGCCAAGACATTTTACATCACGAGAATAATAAATAAATGGTCGGTAAGCAAAAGAAATATCCACTCTTTTTTTCACGCTCATACGCATCCGCAGCTAACTATTATTTGTAATATCATCATGTTTGTATTGTTGCATATGCAGGTGATTGATCTTCTGAAGAAAGAAGGCATTAAATGGTCTGAGGAGAACAGAGGAACACTGCTCATAAAGCTCGAGGGGCAGACCAATTTTAGCTTCCTAGATTCAGGTAGCGACAGTGATTGACCAATTGCATCGAAGAATTTAGCCATTTTAGCCTTGCAAGGATATTTGTTACCAAGAATTTTAATCAGCTGAAGATTGTATATCTTAGAGAATGAGCGTTCGTCTCGTCTGAGGTAGATTTCATGTTTTTGGAGGTAACACAAATTAGAGAACCATCTTGTTCTGTATATTCGTATGTTAACGTTATTACATGTACACAATCTCTGTCCCAATCTCAAACGCAAATTCATTACAACTGAACAGCATTCAGCACAAGGCTTAATAGTGTGTTCAGATTCACGAGACACATTCATCAAAGGCAAACGTTTGACTTATTCCCAATATATGATCATATGTGATTGTATTTTTTTTTAGCATAACTAGTCCAATATTTGTCTATTAATCTCATCAATTTAAAGATAAATTCTTGCCAATTTAATTAAATTCTAATGACGTTTGATTGAATAATGAGCCACCTTGCTACACGTCATCACCAATCCCAGTGCACAGCTCGTTGTACAAATTTTAATATAATGAAAAAAAATGACTAATCTCTTACGAATCCCGTGCAAGATACTCATTAATATTTATAAATTAAAAATGTTTATTAGATAATATTTATAAATAAAAAATACATAATCAATATGCAGTATAATTTACCTATTAATTTATTGAAAATGTTATGAGATGTACATAAAACGTGTCTATTTAAAATTAGTACACAACTCGTACGGTGCACGTAACTGATAATGAATTACATTATATTCATTTATAAATAAATATAATTTTAAAATTTATATTCAAAAATTTGATTTGACGACAATGTGATTCCATAAAATAATTATTATGCTAAAATCTACATCTATGTATATTGAAAGAGGTTGATGGAATAATCTAATAGTAACTTTGACTTTGTAATTAATTGGATTGACGTACTATTAATGGAAGTATTGTAAAAAATACTTTAAAATTTATAAAATAAAATTATACGGACCTCTTGTAAATCATATAATTCCGTTAATAAGACGATTTTATATACAAATCAAGTGGTATCCATTTAAAATTATTTTGTGATAATTATCACAATAAAAATCAGATTCTTCGTATTAATTAGTGAAATTCTGATTCTTTTGGTGACCAACCATACACCATGTCTTTAAAAAACCATCTATCAAATAGTTTTTTTTTTATAAAATATTATTTGAATATGCATGATAAAATTACAAATATAATTACAAAATAAAAATTGAAAATAAGTTATGAAAATTTTATTATGATATTTATCACAACGTTACAATAGAATTCTATTTATCAACTTTAATAATAAATCACGGTGATTTCTTATTCATTTGGTAACCAACCATATTCAACAATATTTTTTTTATCATATCTTAAAATAATCATTTAATCAAAATAATTAATTTATAATCTTTTGATTTATAATAACTCAACTGATTCAGTTTTTCAGAAATTGTAAACGCAATATTCCACAATATTAAAGAAATTTAAATATTTATTTTTAATAAAAAAATTAATCTTTATTATTAATAACAATAATTAAATGCATTTCAGATTTTACCTATAAAAATTTAATTATCATAATATCTCTTCTCAAATTTCACTTAAGAAATATTTACCTTGTATTCTTTATTCTTACTCAAATGATTTGATTGAATTAAATTTGAAATTTAAAAAAAAAAATGATTTAAAAACTAAAAAAGAAAATAAATAATTAATGCACAATATTGAAAATATGTGAAGTCGTCCTTATGATAAGATATTATTGCACCACATGAACTAATCGCAAATTACCTCCTTTTCTAGTTACTTTTTCATATGTATTAATATATATTATGCATTAAGTGAAGATTATTCATACAGTTATTTCCCCACTTAATCAAAACCTAAGAGTGAAATTTGAAAATTGGATCAAGAACTCGGCAAATTGTAAATTTTCATAGTTTTTTCCTCCCTTACATCATTGGCAGCAACAGATTTCAGATACACAATAATATATTTCTTCTTGGAGTTTTTGTGTTTCACACATTACCCAGCAACAGCAATTCAAAAAATACCAACAAATGCCAAAGAGTTTATGCAGCACAACCTCTCCATAGTCTGTTAGCAAATCACAACCACATAAGTTTGGCACTTAACAATACAAGTTGATCTAAAAATCTACATTATTCTAGAAAATATAGCATTTTCGGGCTAAAACTGAAAGCTTTTTTTTTTTTTAGCCAGCCACGGTATCCGGAGCTATGCTTCGACTAATCCGTTTATCGACCCGGGTCGCACACCTGGCAGTGGTGGGTGAGTCTCTAAACAAAGGTTTTCTGCATCCACAAGGACTCGAACCCGAGACCTTGCTTAAGCGACATCAAACTGCTTACTACTTGAGCCAACCCATGTTGGTTAAATTTGAAAGCTTTAACTATTGCAATGCACTCATTCTTCCAAAAACGTTGAGCACCAAAAAAAGGCAGTGGATCTAAAGTACTTGTTTGCAGTCTGAAATGATAAACTTTCAATCCTTTCGGTCCATTTACTCAATGGGGAAGTTTACTGCTTCTTGAGTGCGTTCATTTTCTCCCTGAGATAGTAAAGCTTGGCCCTCCTCACTTTCTTCTTCTCCAGCACTTTTATCTCCTTTATATTCGGAGAGTACCTGCACATATTAACCCACAAGATTAGAACTATTGTTCACCATATTGTCCAGTGAAAGTAATGGACAAGCCGGTTAATCACTGAAAAATGCAAGAACTGAAATTAATTAATCGACGTTTGCTGGAACTTTGCTTTAGGATATGGAGATGATGAAATTTAAGCACTTGGGCCATTTTTTGGGAACATTATGAATTCACTATTCTCCTAATCAATGATGATGAATAAATCAAGAGAATAATTT